TCCAAAATTGACTCGACTCCTCTCATTTTTTCACCCCCGAACCACTCACCACTCAATTTTCACCCATTTTGTCGACTATCCATCCCCTCCCTTTCAAACTGATTACTTTTTGCTCCACTTTGTCTATTTTTTCGGGGTGTTGTTGTAAGACTCTCCATGAAAAGACATGAGTTAATTTGTTAGAAAACGTCAAGGGCTTCTTGTTTCAAAAATAGAGAGAGAGAGGAGTGGAACCCCATAAAGAGAGTTGTCACTTACACTGATGAGCTTTTTGCTTCTTTTGGAATTTTTGGAATTTTGGAGGAGAATGGGGGTTAGGAATTATGAACCCTCATCATAACAAAACGTTCTCGACGAAAGAAATATGATATTATAGAGAAAGATCTTCAACAGGATAATGTTATTCGATCGGTCTGAAATAACAAAAAAAAAAAAATGTTTTTATCCTTTTAAACAACAGTGAAATCTGTAATAGAAGGGCCTCCTAGCTTCGAGCCAATCCATCTCGGTTCCTGTCAAAGATGGTTAATAGGTAAATTTTTTATCATAATATCACCAAGTTTTTATCAGTTGACACATTTTCGATATCGTACATAAGAGCCAAAAAAAATTAGCTCAATCTTGGAAGTCTGGGAGCCCTTCTATAACAGGTTTTTCGGTAAATATGATCCGAGTGTAAGGAAACGGTGATTAGGCTCATACTACCTTTCTCTTTTCTGAATCTCAATCGTTCTAATTTGCATTTCCTCAGAAAATTTGTCGTTCGCATCACCCTCTCTCTCTCCAATACGTATCACTTTTTTCAAACACCCAATTTTCAATCCGTCACATTCTACCGTAATCCCTTCCCTTTCCGCCGCCAACCCGCCTCGTCACGTCCAATCGATTTACATGTCTATCACTTGAATATGGTGTATTTCTAATTGGTTTACGTCTTCCTTCCATCTTGAATGTCTTTTTTGCGGCTGATGGTGTCCCGGGTCTTCTGAATACATAAAAATAGCACATTCATCAATTCAGAAAACACCCGCGATGTCGTCTTCTGAATTATTAAAAGAGTGGTAGCGTCGTGATTGAATTCTGTTTGATGGGTCACTTGGGACACTGGGAATACGGTAGAAACGGGCGAAGAGAGAAGACTAATTGATTGTTGAGTGATTGTTGGGTGTTCGAGATAATGGGAAAAAAATGGTGAGAGAGAGAGAGAGAAAAAAAGAAAGTTAAACGGTTTGACGAAATGGATTACGGTAGTAGTGGGAATGTAACGAAACTTGAACAAAAATTCTGTAGATACCTATTAGGGTTGATTATGTTTCAGTTATTAAGGTTTTTGTATTAGATATCTGAAAAGAAATAATTTTCAACTAATAAAGTATTTTTTTTTTGGGAAATCAACGACTTTTCAATTCAATTTTTATTCCAGGAGGATGTTCCCAACGGTCAAGGTATCCTTCTCCAACGTCCTCTTAGATACTCTATACTACATTTTCCTTGATGTGGTACCAGTGGACTCAAAACGGTAATTTTCAGAAAATCCTAAAATAAAAAAAAATCTTTTTCATTTCAGATACCGTTACATCTACAACAAATCAGCATGGTTGACTGCTGGAAAAGCGGAGCCGGTGCCCAAGAATCGGTACTACCTTCACCCGGATTCTCCATTCACAGGAGATCAGCTTCTGAAGCATGTGATATCGTTTGAGAAGACAAAATTGACAAACAACGAGGTGGATAAGACGGGACATGTGAGTTTGAAACAGTTTAGAAATACCCCAAACTTTTTTTTTTGATTCCTCTCAAAGATAACAAAAATGTGTCAGCTGATAATTTGTTTATCATAATATCACAAACATTTTATCAGTTGACACTTTTTTTTATATATTGCATAGGAGCCAAGAAAAATAAGCTCAAACTTGACAGTGCTCTTTTATTACAGGTTTTACGTATCTTTATCAAATACAATTTATTTTTCAGCTGATCCTCAACTCTATGCACAAGTACCAACCACGTATTCACATCGTCCAACGACCAAAATCCAGTCCACTGGACCACAATAAATTTGTGATGGCTGACGAGCAACACTGCACCTATACATTCCCTGAAACGCAATTCATGGCAGTCACTGCTTACCAAAATCAATTGGTAATTTTGAAAAACGATGAAAAAGCAATAATAGAAATTGTTTCAGATAACGAAGCTGAAAATCGAGAAGAATCCATTCGCCAAGGGATTTCGGGATCCAACTGGCAGGTCTCCAGATGAAATGTACGTTTTTTTAGGATTCAGAAAAAGATATTTGAAAATTGATAAGTAGTAAAATTACGGAAAAAATTGTAATAGAAGGACCCCCTAACCTTTAATTTTTGAGCCAATTTATCTCGGTTCCTGTCAAAGATATGAAAAGGCTGCCAACTGATAAATTATTTAGCGTAGTATCAAAAACTTTTTATCAGTTGACACATTTTTGCTATCTTGCATAATGGGACCAAGAAAAATGAGCTCCACCTTGACAGTGTGAAGACCCTTCTATTACAGGTTTTACGGTATTACTAGGATATACAAACAAAATATGATTTTTCAGGGAACGCAATCCGGGAGACCTCTCTCCCATGATGCTCTCCAACTTCTACCACTCATCCGCCCTTCAACAAGCCATGTTCCAGCAGTGTCTCTCGAAAATCCAAATGAATCCATCCATCATGATGCTATATCAGAACGTGTTCCCCGGTGCACCAGGCATGCCCACCCCAG